CTCTTTACATTTTTGAGACATCCTCGGTCTGGCCGGAGAAATAAGATCGTATCGTCCGCAAATTGCAAGTGCGAAATAATTACACTTGGAGCCATATTGTGGATATTCAATAAATCCTTTACTCACTGCACCTTCCAGCAATAGGTGAAGATCCTCTGTGACCATCAAGAATAGCAAGGGAGATAATGAATCTCCCTGCCTTAATCCCCTGTGCATTTTGAACTCTTTTGGAGGAGATCCATTTAATAAAACTGAAACTCTTATTGTCGAAATACATTCCCATAGCCACCCTCGCCATTTGCTTTCAAACCCCATTTATTATTGAACCGAATTTAATAACTCCAAACATACATAGTCATAGGCATTTGCAAAATCCAGCTTTAAAATCAATCCACCTCTCCCGTCTCTCTCTTTGTATAAAGAGTGAATTACCTCATTTTCCACCAAAATACCAAAAAAATCTACCATTTAGATAAAAAAGCACATTGAGTCTCACTTATTACCTTTCCTATCACTCCTTTTATTCTTCTAACCAACAATTTCGTTATAATTTTATACAAACTCCTTATCAACGAAATCATCCTATACTCTGAAATTTCAAAAGGATTATCCACTTTCAGAATCAACTATAAAAAAGATGAATTAACATTCTTCCCCAATTTTCCAAACCTGTAGAAACGATCCATTATCTTAATAAGATCACCTTTTACACGATCCCAAGATTTTTTTTTAAAAATAGCATATTAAAGCCATCAGGTCCCAGTGCTTTAGAATCGCCGCAACTCCACACAGCTTCTTTAATTTCTTCAATTGAGAATGGTGCTTCCAACTCTTCAACATCTTTCGCTGTCACATGCTTGAAAGGGAGGTTAATCACCGTATTACACTATTTCTTTTTGCTTCTAAAATGATTGATAAAAAAATTAAAAACTTTTTCCCTCAATTTTGGCAGATCAATTTCATTTACCTCTCCCATATTTACACCTAAAATCAATCTCTTTTTACTTCGGATCTTGACTGCATTGTGAAAGAATGTGGAATTCTCATCCCCAAGTTTCATCCACTTCATTCTAGATTTTTGTCACCTTATCTCCTCCTTTGCTCTCAACAAATCCCATAACCTTCTTGTGCAATCTGCTACCTCCTCCCTTTATCGATCCTCTAATCCATCTAAATCTCCTTTCCTATCTAAGTCATTTATCCTCAGCTCCATCTTTTTAACTTTATTATCAACATTCCAGTAATTGTCCTTATTCTATTTTTGGAATGCACCTTTTACTCTTCTTAGCTTTGCACTGAAGTCTTCATCATGAGGAAGATCAAACTCTAATGTGTCCTTTATGACCTCAACACAGCTATTCTGATTTAGCCAACTATTAATCAGGTTGAAAGATCTTGGCCCCTAATCTATTATCTATTTGCCCATTAAAATAGGAATATGGTCCGAGACAGTTCTTGGTAGTCCCCACAGTATTGCTTCGTTATTTTCCTGAAATCATTCGTCCTCTACAAAGACTCTATCTAACTGACTTCTCTTGTTTCTCGGCCCAAACCATATAAATTTTCTCCTTGCTAATGGCATATCAAAGATTTTCTATGAACTGGTTAAACGCTTTGATCTCAGACTCTCTAAAAGAGCATCCACTTCTCTCGCTTCGATTTCTAATAACATTAAAATCTCCAGCCATGAACCATCTGTTATTATCTCTTATCTTTTCCCCCACTATCTCATTCCATAAAATGTATTTGTCCCTAACTTCACAACGAGCGTAAACATTAACTATTGAGCAAGTCGATTTATCAGAGACACACTTTCCCCTTATCAGTATGAATCTATCTTTAATTATGCTACCTTCCACCTTAATTCTACTTTTATCCCATACCAACAGTAAACCCCCAGATTTTCCCACTGCTTTTGAAAACCTAAAATTAAAATCATCATCACTTCAAATGCTCCCTATTTCAGTTTCATTAAACTCCTCTTTCTTTGTTTCTTGAATCAACACAAATTCAATCGTATGAACACGAATTATCCTCCTAAGTTCAGAACTTTTAACAACAGAACCCATACCTCTTATATTCCAAGATAAAATCTTCATCCCGAAATTTCCCCCTCCGATTTCAACTAAAAAACAATAGATTGAGATTGGAATACGTCTTCCGATGCCTCCGCAGCTACAATTTCCCGAACCAAAATCTCTTCTGGACCTTTAAAATCTATTCCTAAAACTCTTCCAATCTGTAGCGTTTTCTTTGCTTCCCTCTTTTGTCTCTGTGATCTTGCTTGAAGATAAGAATCAGATAAAGACCTTCCTTCTAGTTCAGTCCAATCATCATCGCACTCTACCTTCTTATTTTTCTTTAAACGGATATTTCTATTTTTCCTTAGAATGTTAGAAAAATTGTCTTGAATGCATTGTAAGGAGCTGTATTTTTTTTTTGTTTTTCCCGACCTTTACTCTTTGAGTCTGTCTGGGTTTGTTCGATTAAAAATCCTCACTCAAATAAGTTGAATCATTTGACCTCTGGTCCATATCCTTCCCGTCTTTCCCGAATTTGGGCTTCCCTTTTATTTGTTCTGCTAATAACCCATCCACTTGGCCTTCATCCCTCTTGTAATTCTTATTAAACCCTGTAGTTTTAAGGCCCATACACATGGAATCCTCCACTGCCTTAGTATCTGATATTCCTTCCCAAATAGACAATTCTCTAACATTTTCTTCTTCATCCACGTTGACACGTACTTGGCCATTTAACTTCTTCCTGACAGCTAATTCGACTCTATCCTCGTGTTCCATCCCATCATTACTTTTCTTCTAAACATTCCCACATTCATCATCATTTGTACTCAACCCCATAATTGCTTCCTCACCAATATTTCTTTCCACCACGTCCTCACCCGACAAGCAACCACCTCCGGATATATTTCCCATACATCGTAATTGAATTTCGCCTTCCTCAAGCCACCTTTCAATGATTTTGTCCTCCGATGAGCCCCTGCTCCATCTAGCCGAAGACTCTGAATCGACGGCCACCACACACTCTTTTTCTTCTCGCTTTCATACCATTGTTACGCTACTGCCTATGATCTGTTCTAGAACCCTAACCTTAAAAATGTCTCGACCCACTTCCAAATCGAGCACTTCATCAATGGACTCAATCCTATTTTTTGCAATAAGAATTGCCACCTCCTCGCAGCACATTGCTTGAAAAGCATTTTCTCCCATCGCTAAGAATTCACCCCATTGTTTTGCTATCCTCTTAATCGTGGAATGGTTCCAACAATGCGGTGGCACACCACATAGTTTGATCCAAGTTCCTCTTTAAGCCAGTCTATACGATTTTGTCCATGGTTGTACATCCAAGAAAACTTCCTTAAGATACGACCAGCTATGTTCCTTCAAAATCCTATGTAACTCGTCATCATCTATCTCTATTAAAAAGTCTCTACCTCCCAGAAATTTAGTTCTTATTTCTCCTAGGCCTCCTGCAAGTAATCTATCTTCCACTTGACTCGACGAACAAACCGTCACCATCGTACCTACCAGGCATTTTTGAAGCTTTCGTACATCGTTCTCATCTACTTCCCCCTGAACAATTTTACTGCTCCTCATTAGTTGCTCCTCCAAACTTTCTCCAGAACTACTGTTCTTTTCTTGTTCTACCAATGTTACATCTTTGGAAGTTGATGGCCTATATGATTTCCTGCTTTGTTTCTTAGCACTATACCTAGCTTCTTTGACTGTTAAACGGTACCCGAAAATCCATAAATCATTTAATCTTGGAGCTGCTCTATCTGCATCGTTTCTGTTGGAAAAGCTAACAAAACCAAAACGCTTCCCTGCTCTGTCATACTTCCTTGCTATGAAAGAACTCACCACATCTCCATGCTTGCCAAAGTGTTGTCTCAATCCGCTCCAATGGTATCTAGGTGGAATGTTCTGAACAAACAAAGTTGATATTTCGCTTTCCTTCCCCACCATTCTAACGAACAATTGATTATTAGCGGTCCAAACAATGAACCACGTGGTTATCTTTCCTACAGCATACCCAACAGATCCGTAAGTGTTGATTGATGTATCCTGCTCGAATACAACGGGTGGTGCACCGCTCTTGATCACGTCAGGAGAGCCTTCGTAGGTCGACGAAACCAACTTTAGTTCAAGACAATTATCATTCAAAATAATAGTAATTCAACTATCCTAGAACTCCCCTATCTCAGGCGGAGGATAAGTAAGTTGAAGGGATCTCTTTGTTGACTGTCGATACTACTCGGCTAAGGCTCTTCCTCGAATGTTGCAGTCCTAATTGGATATTATATAAGTAAAGCAAAAAAAAAATAACTTCAATGTTAGAAAAACCAAATTCCAACAACATGATCTTCTTTAATACTTCAATTTGAATCTGGTGAAAGTAATTTGCTCTAAAAGAATTAAGGTCCTTAGCTACTTGAAGACTTTGAAGTTAATGCAATAATCCTGAAAAGGAAAGGAAACGTTTGATAGATAGAGGGTTAATAACGCCATTTTCCTTTATTAGAGCTCTAGAGTTTTATGTTTTATTTAATGTCTGTTATAAACTTGACGTTATTTATTAAATAAAAAATAGTTGTAAGTTTTAGTGGATAGAAGATCCACCCTATGAGTATATCATTTTGATGCAATAACCTTGGAAAAAGACAAAATTTTGATAGATAAAAGGATATTAAGGTCATTTTACCCTTTAATAGAGGTAATAGAGTTTTAAATGTTTTATTTGATGTTAGTATGAATTCATCATGTTTTAAATAAAAGGAATGGACAGACGATAAAAGTTTTATAGTATTTTTATATTTATTTAATGGCCATGTGATTCATAATATGTTTTATTTGTTTTTTCCCCAAAGAATAACGCTGTATGACATTATTATTATTACATGTATATTTATATTATCTTATTAGGCTGCAAAATTGTATATAAATATGTGTATGCAAGCAGCCATGTAGCACAAGAGAAGCAAATCAAAAACGTAAGTTTAGTTGAGCTAACAACAAATGGCTGCTCCTACTACACCCACAAACGTCGTCCTTGATAATCAGAGTGGCGACACTTTAATGTTGGTTTCGTCGACCTATGAAGGCGTTCCTAACGTGATTAAAAGCGGTGCATCGCCCTCTGAATTCCCCCAGGATACAGAGCTCAGTGTTATCGCATCTGTTGTGTATGCTGTCGGGAATATAGCCACGTGGGTCGTTGTTTGGACAGCTAATAACGAAGTAAATATTATTATATCACTTCTTAATTATATTATTGATTTCTGTAATAATTGATTATGTGTTCAGTTGGTAATTATATTGTTTTATTTTGTAGCATATATAATAATTAGCTCATTTATCAATGACAGGTCGCTACCTCGGTCCTTCCTCCTGGTACTCCTCTTATTTGGAAAGATATCTGGAACAAACTTCAACGCGACGGTGCCATTGATTCGTACCGCACCAGCTACGGTTGGGAATACAATTCAACGGTAGAAATCAAATCAGATGGTGATGCTCAAACCTTAAGTGTCATAATCTCTTATGATCCCATTTCCAAATTAAAGTAGCTTTGTTGTGCTTAATTACTCTTTTAGTTAATCTGTGGTGCGATGGTGAGGCTGTCAAAACTAAGTAAAACACTACTTGTTTACACCATGCACTACTATTTAAATAAATTTGACAGCCAGCAATAAGGGATTGCCATTAGCTTTAGCTTTTGAATAATGTGTGTTTAGTTCGTCTCTTGTAATAATTTCAAATATCAGCATGTGTCTCTTTACTTTAATAACATCTAGTTCTCAATTATAAAATAGTATTTTATTATAGTAAGCACTTTTAGCCGAAATTTAATCATCCTAAAGCAAGGTCCTGAGAAGGACACAAAAGAAACACCGCAAGCGGCACTTACAGTAATATTAGTCTCCACCACCAAACTCTAAATGTTTTTTTTTCTTTTTTACCATCTTTCGCCAAAAAAATCAGTCATACCATTAAAGTTCTTAGAAAAAAAAAGCATAACTAACACTTTAAATCTAAATGGTAAGCCTATTGAAGTTACTGACGAAGTTTCAAAACATCCATGGTCTCAATGTCGGCTCAGTAACCCATGATACTACTACTTGCGAATCCGATTCCACAATTAGTTCATGTCAGACTCCTTTCCCGGATTCAATGACAATTCAAAGATTATTTTCATAGCAATCAACTCCACATGGTCTGAACAAACATTGAATTTTAAGCAACCTAGTTTTGGTGGCATCCACTCCACGCAGGGAAACAAGCCAGGTTGAGGCGACAAAAGAAAACTTTGCGGATTCCGCCGCCAATCGTTCCCCCAGTCCTCCATATCTCCAAACACTTTATCTTCACTAAGTAGAAATTTTCCTCCATGGTCAACACTTTACCTCGAAAAACTCGTTCATTCATTGTTAACCATATCGTCCATACACAACAGCAAAACTGTTCTACAGCGGTGCTTTTAGTGGCGTTTTAGGAGTAAACGCCATTAATTTTAAACATATAGCGGCGTTTACATACTAAATGCCACAAAATGGTAATTTTAGCGGCGTTTTTATAAAAATGCCACAATAGGGTATAACTTTAGCGGGCAATAGGTTCATCTATAGTGGCGTTTTCCAACAAACGCCGCAATGTGAGTAGAATTTTAGCGGCGTTTCGGTACAAACGCCGCAATAGGTTCATTCATAGTGGCATTTTTCAACAAACGCCGCAACATAGTAGTACTTTAGTGGCATTTTTAACTAAAAGCGTCGTAATAGGGTTAACATTTAGTGTCATTTTGTTAAAACGCTGCAAAGTTTGTATTTTTATCTCCTAAAACCCTAGCCCTTTTTAATCTTATTTTCTTTCTGGGTTTCCTTTACTTCTTTTATACTGTTTACCCCAAACCCACAAATTAATTTTTTTCGATCTTAGTTCTTCTTTGGTTGCTTCATCGATCTCGCAAATTCCTTTCTCCAAATCTGTTGCTTCGCTGCTTTGCCCATCTGCTTCGTTGCTTCGCTGTTTCACTTTGTCAGACCTCAAACCCATCTGCTTCGCTGCTATACATGAAATAACAGGTAGAGAATCACTTTCGAGGTAACAAAAAGGTTACTTTTTACCCTTTTGTCTTGCATTTCATGTCGTTGTCAAACCAGAGACAAAAGGGCGTTACCTTTTATGACTTTTTTCTTTACAAATTGCAAAGCTTTGTTATTTTGGGGTGCAAAAAAAGTTTCTTACAACAAAAAGTGGCCTTTGATTGCGCACTTGAGATGAAAATTTATTCATCTTTTTCATTTTTTTTCTAGGAAACTTTGTGTTTGTCAATATTATATTCATTCAACCTATCTCTAATGATGACAAGGGTTGAATTGGATGGAAGCGCATGAGTTTACTGCAATCATTTGGTGCCCATTTTTCCTTTGGTTAAAAGGAATGTGAAAAATCTAATCATTTTGTTCATGATTCTCTCATGAGATTAAGGAAGCGTCACCAATGTTTTCCTTCTTTCTCTTCTCTTCACAGAGTAATTACAAGTGTATTACTTACACATATTTGTTAGCTTAATCTATTTTTGTCATTAATCTTAATCATGGAAAACTCTTCCATTTCTGCGTTGAATGATTATGTCTCTTGTTCGGAGTGAATGCATTTACATTATATAATGAATAGTTAAGATCTTAGTTACAAAGTTTAGCATACAAATTTTGAACCTGATGTGCAACTAATTGGTATTGAATGGTTTGCTTAAAATTGAAATGTAGGTTGATGAGGATAAAGTTCACTGGAGGTGAAAGAAAGACCATCTAGAGTTGGAATGGCCACACAATTCCCTCACCTCATATCACAGTTAGCTAAATGTTTTAGTGAGTAGATTTTCTTGATAAATTCTTTCAGCATTCCTAATTAGCATGGTTTTAGCTTTCAGCATTCAATTTAGAACTCATTGTTTAATATCTCTCTCTGATCAGCCTCGACTGATTGTAGCTAATGCTATGGTTGGACCACGATCATGGATAGGAGGGCTCTTCAATCGCTTTGTCAAGCGCACTGAGAAGTTTCTTGACTACAATTTGAATCCTATTCAGGTGATTGATAATGTGAAGTTAGGACTGATAAAGATTTAGGAACTCCGTTACAAGATGGATTACGATAGAAAATCAGACTTTCTTGAGAAGAATTGAACTAGTTTTTACCATCGTTTCTTGGGTATTCAATCTAGTGATGTACCAGGATAATTTGTTAGGGTGATTTGTGTTGATCTATCATGTGTATGTACATATATATTACATATACATATAAACATCTTCATTCCATTCTCAGCCCCAGTAATAATAAAATTGATATATATATATATATATATATATATATATATATATATATATATATATATATATTACTAATTCTGATCAGTAACAGAGACTTTGAAGGCTTCAAGCACGACTACACGTACCCTTTGACGAGACTCATCCCGACCATCATGCACTTTCTTCATTCTTTTAACATCCATATTGTTTTCCATCTTTTCTAACTATGAGCAAACATGGTTATACAGAGCTGAAATGCCATATAAATTAGAAGACTATTGATCTCATGATCCTTTGGTGTGACAGAAAGCTCTCATGAAATTTTGGAACATTGCCTTTCCTAATGTTGTTCTAACAGGCTTGATCTATGAACAGTGGAAAGAGATGGGGTGGCAAGGTGTTAATCCATCAACCGATTTTCGGTACGCTTTTGTAATTTTCGTTGTACGACTTTTTAACTTGCTATCTGTACATAGAGGTATCTAGGAGACTCGAAAAGGATGTGTAACAAATAGCATACCGTAATTTTATTTGTCTAAAATCGAACTTTATTTTGTATATTCTGAATTTGAGCTCAGTTTTAAGATGATCTTATGTTTCTTTTTTTTTCTGGATAAAGGTTGTGGATCTTATGTTTCTTGCGTTTATTCTTGTTTACAAGTATGGCATAAGCAGACCTTGAAACTTAGAGTTGATTACAATTCATTCAGTACTACAAATAGGAGTTGCATAACCTATTCAATTTTGTTTTAAACTATAACTATTTCATTGAGCAAGCACTTATGAATTTATGAGAGATGACACTTTTGATGACATTCCAGACCATGATTATATTAATGATTAACATTATTTGCCTAAGCAGTTTCATGCAGCTCTCTGACATATTATCTGCTCTTGGTCCATGGAAGGTGAATGAGTAAACTTATGTAATAAAGGATTAAAATTTTAAAGGGCCAAGCTGGATTTATTCAAAAAGTCGTTCTCTAATAGAACATAAGCAGTTGTATGAATTAGCGTAATTAATGTGATTAGTTAGGGGGAAAACTTTAATTTTTTCATTATTTTTCAAAAATAAAAAATAAAGAAAATAAAAGAATTATCACTTCGTCCTCCAATAAATTTTTTAAGACTAAATATGACTGAATGATTCATTTTATTATTCATTTATTAGTAAAATATTTTATCAACAATTAATTGATTAGTAAAATTAAGTGTTTGATCATTTAAATAATATTTAATATTTGGATCATTATATTATAAATGGAGTATAGTTTTCTCATTTTTTGAGAAATAATGTATTATTGACCTGCAAAGAAGGATATGAACGGTCTCTCATGAAAATTTTAAATTCTCATATATTTTTATCTATTTTTATATAATTTTTATTAATAACTTATTTTCATATCTTCTGAATTATTATAAGTTTGTCCCCTAAAATATTATATTTTGATCCCTAACATGAAATTATATATTCGATCTTGTTTATATTAAAGTTTATTCTTATCTAGTCGTCCAACAACTTATCCTTGTCCTCCAAAACGACCAAAACTCTTCATGGGACTTGAAAACTCAAGTCTACTGAAGAAGGAGAAATAGTTGTTGCTGAGCAACAAGACTCTGTTTCTGTTCATGTCTCTCCCTCTGACACTCTCAGAATGTACTTCTAGGTATGGGTTTTTGTTTTTCACTTTGCTACTTACATTATGAAAAAAGTTCAATTTGTTTTTCATTAACTAAGGGGGAATTGCCATTATCTTTTTCAAAGGGTTGCTTTAGATAATACTGGATTTTGAATTTTTTTTTTTTGAGTTTTGCTTAGATGTTTATCTATTTGTTACTTAATTCTAGAAAAATGTATCATGTTTCATAGTAGTGCTTAAAGAATCTCCACTAGGGGTGCATCTTTCAATTACTTATTGCATAGAATTTGAATTCTTGAAATTAGGCAGAAATCGGTTCCATTGACTAGTTTTTGCTTGAAATTGTATATTTGTCTACAAATTTTTTTCCCTTGGAACTATTTATTCATAGGTCACTGACAATCAATCTTGATTGTTTGAAGGCAGATGGAATGTTGAATGAAGTTGAAATTCCAAAGGTGAGTAAGGCATTAGAGGTATATAATCAACCTTTTGTCAAGCAAATTATAGTAACATTTATGTTTTGCAGACAAAAATGATCATTTTAACAGGAAACTTGGTAAATTTATCTTCAGATTGAATGAAGGGGAGGAATCTAACTTCTTTCTTCATCCGGTGTCCCGATCATAGTCCAGTGTTTCACTCGATC